CCTGGCTTGTATCAGAAATAGTGTGGACAGCAGGACCCTTTGTACTTGGCACTGGTGGGGCTGCACGCTGAATAGTGTGTTCAGTTTTGGTGCCCCCCTCCCCCCCCCGCCCCCCACTACAAGAAGGACATTGAGGTGCTTGGAGAAGAGGAGGTTCAGGGGAGACCTTATTGTTCTCTACAGCTACCTGAAAGGAGGTTGTAGTGAGCTTGGTGTTGGTCTCTTCTTCCAAGTAGCAACTGATGGGACAAGAGGAAATGTCCTCAAGTTGCACCAGAGGAAGTTTAGATTGGATGTTAGGAAAAATTTATTCACTGAAGGAGTGATCAGGCATTGGAACAGACTGGCCAGGGAATTGTCTGCGTTACCATCGCTGGAGGTATTTAAAAGACGTGTAGATGTGTTCCTCAGGGACATGGTTTAGTGGTGGACTTGGCAGTTTAGGTGAACAGTTGGACTCGGTAATCTTAAGGGTCTTTTCCAACCTAAATCATTCTGTGATTTTATGTGAGATGTCCTTTCTCTATGATTTCCTCATAGATGAGATCAACATGAGCATTTCTTCACTTACATGTTTGGTTCTAGTGTGCATTACCTGTTGGAGTGAGTCCAGAGGAGAGCCATGAAGATGATCAGAGAGCTGGAGCACCTCTCCTATGAGGACAGGCTGAGAGAGTTGGGGTTATTAGCAGGGAGTTTAGTAAAAGGATGAGGAGTAATGGTTTTAAGCCTTAAGATGGTAGATGTAGTTTATATATTAGGAAGGAGTTTTTTACGGTGAGGGTGGTGAGGCACTGGAACAGGTTTCCCAGAGAAGTTGTGGATGCCCCATCCCTGGAGGTGTTCAAAGCCAGGTTGGATGAGGCTTTGAGCAACCTGGTCTAGTGGAGGGTGTCCCTGCCCATGGCAGGGGGGTTGGAACTCGATGATTCTTAAGGTCCTTTCCAACGTAGACCCTTCTATGATTCCATGATGCTCTGATTTCCAAAGGGAATCTGCTTCTGTTTATTCCCTTGCCCTTCAAAAGGGCTTCTAAGCAATGGTTATATCTGAAAAGATGCTGAGAATAGAAAACAGATCAAATGAGGGAGATTGTTTGTATTTCCTAATCTGTGTGTTTGTGCTGCAGAGGTTCTGTTCATAGCATTTTTCTTTCTGCATTTTATGCACTTTGAAGTAGCAATAAAAACCTGTCAGGTTTTTTATTATATTTATTGGAGTGAGTGAGTAGGTGTATGGAGAGAGGACTGGGTGGTACCAAGCACATTTTTTTTTCTGTATGTTTCTCCTACTATTTTTCACTCTGTCTCTTAATTAGTTTTTTTATTTTATTACTGGAGCTGTTACAGTCGTTTATAGGGGCTTTTTAATCCTAGTTGTAGAACAGATGTCTTCTTTGTCAGGTTGGTATTGAAATGAATCCATGAGATAATCAGAGGAAAAGTTAAACACTGAAAAAGGATTGTATGTATTAATGTATCCATACGGAAATCATTTTCTTAAAAAGAGAACACATCACACTGCTGGCTGATATATTTTTTTTAAAGGAAAAGTGCAAAGGATAGTATCATGTCATTATTTTAAGTATTTTTTTAAAAAGTAAATGAGTAAAGAATAACTTCATTGGGAGCCCATTTATTTTTATCTGCAAAGAGGTCACTGCTTAGAACCTTGAGCTTTGCTTTTTACCCATCTACTGAAAACTACATTTTTTCTTAGTGTCTTTGAAAGAAGAATGGGTCAGCTCCTTCTCGACTGTGCAAGTGCTCAGGTATTTGATAGCTGCTTGTGAAGTGTCCCATTTTGTCTGCACGTTGTATTAAAAGCTCGTTCAAAGGTTGTTAAGAGTCACAAAAACTCTATAGTAATTTACAGGAAGTTTTTACTCATCTACAAAATTAGTGAAGATTGGAATAGTGGCTTTCTGTCAAAACTGCTATGTACCTTACAGTATTTCTCTGGAGAAATAAAAGGTAAATCTAATGTGCATAGTAATGACCATAGATGGTAAGATGTTTCAAACCTGTATTTCTTTGTTATGGTAAAGAAAGAAAAAGATGTTATTTTTCATTTTTTTTTCCTGATGTTCGATTGTGTGGTGTAGTTGTCAAAGATGACAGGTATTCTTTAAAGAATTTGCCATGAAAAATGTGGATAAATTATTTACACATTCCCTTGAAATTACTATAATATTCTGATATTATTGTGTTTTTTTGAGGAAACTTGATATTTGATATTTTCCTGACATTGAATAGATTATAATGTCTAAATGGGTTTTTGTATTCGTGAAAAGCTACCAGCTACACCTCATGGTCAAGTAGTATATGTACTGGTGTTCTAATAATGGTTACTAAATAAAGCATAACTTGCTAAGAGATACTTTAATTTTGAGAAGTATGGTTATGTATTGACCTGTTAAACTGCTCTTCTACAGTTCCTGGGATCTTTTTAGTGTACTTTACAGTTGTAAAGTTTAAAAACAGCTATAACTATCGGAAAAGTTAGAATTGATATTTTACTTAAAAATTAATGTATGCATATATCTGTGAGAGAAAGTAACGGCTTTAAAATAATTTGCAATAAGTACTATTATTAACAATCTAGGCATAAATATAAAACTGACTTTGTTTTTTTTAAGTTCAAGGAATGTAGGAACAGTTAAAATGAATTACTCTGATTTTAGCGTTTCAGCCAGTTTCAATGTGCGTTTCCTTTTGAGCTAATACAAGTCTTTGGGAAATGGAAGTAGCTCATGCATCTTGAGTGTAAAGGTTGTGGATTGTGTATGTTGCATGTTTGGTACTTTGAAATAAGCTTTTTCTCCTGGGATTGTTCTCCATGGAAGGATTTGCTTTTGTTTTAGGGACAAAACACTAGCAGTTTGCTTGGTGACTACTTGTGACTTGACTTTAACAGGAGGTAGAATGATGAGATGTGGTCTTAGAACTAAAAAAAAAAATAAAAAAATAAAAAAAAAATTATTCTCTTAACTATTGTTTAACTCTTACTAAGAGAAGAGTAAGTTTCAGGATGCTATGACTGCTAAAATCTTACATGAATTAAAGGTGACTGGATGAACACATTGGTAAAAAGCCCGTGCGGTACTTACTGCTAAGTAGAAGGATTAGGCTTTTGGTGAAACCTTCAGTCTGCAAATTACTGCAGGGTGGAAGGGTATTCTGTGGAAGTACTGTTTTTCTTACACTGTTTCTTGTCTGCTTTTGGCCACTGTCAGAAAGAGTACACTGCCTAGATTAGCAGTTGACTTTTATTTATTGTCTTCTAACCCTCTATGTGTCTCTGTGCCTCCATGGTTGAGTCATTGCTCTTATTTTGCTGTATTAATTTGTTTCTCCAAATTGACTGCAGAATTTGCAGACAAAGATAAATTTTATGTTATTTAAAAAAATAAAATCTGTAAATTAATTTGAGGAATAATCAGATAAAATTGTTTCTTCAAACTAATTTTATATTTTACAGTTCTACTACCTTGCTGATGATTATGATTTTTAGATTTAAAAGGTGCAAATTTTACCAGCATCTACTGTTTGTTGGTTGTGTTGGTTAATTCTTAAATTTCAAGTGCCTCTACATCACATAAATGCATGAAAGCCAAGGCTTCAATTTAAAAAAATAACAAAAATTGCTGTCTGGAATGAATTTATTCTGTAAAAATCCTGTACTCCTTTGTAAAGTTCCCGGATAACAAACAGATAGTTTTTCTCACTAATTGAAGTAGTCATGGCAGCCAGTCGCAAGTGCTTGTTCAATGAGAAAGTTGAACTGCATAGTGAAGTTACCAGCTGGTGTATCAATTCTAGTTGCTGCATACGGTAACATGCTGGATGTAAAATCTCAAAAAGTAAAGAAAGGAAAACTGGGAGTATTAAATGTTCATTACTTCTTGCTTTAACCTGTATTCTTACTTCACCACCTGCCCAACTATTGAATGTCACCATGTTTCCTAGTTTTAATCAGCTGCATCGGGACTGCAGTCTGCCACCAATTTGTTCCCCAAGTTTGAGTAAGATTACCGGAACTGTACAGAGTTCAGTGATGGGGAGTGCGGAGCAGGTCATGGTTAAGGGCGTGTTTAGAGGCTGTCTTCGCAGTAAAGAGATTTGCCAGAATTAAGTTTGTAGTAGTTTTGATTATATTTTTTGTTTTTCTTACGGCTTGAGCACCAGCTAATATCTTCTTTGGAGGTGCTAATAACCGCTGTTATAATGAAGTCTAATCTCTTTCTCTTCAGTTATGAAGCTTTGATCTTGCTTATACTGACTCTTACATGCTTTATTACTTGAAATTAGAATTGCACTTTGTGGATTATCTAAAATACAACAAAAATTTCATGCATAGCTTTCTGAATGGTTTTTAATATAGAAATCTTATAGACAATAAAGTAAGGAAACCGCTGAAATGCCATGAAATCAAAAAATCACATGAAATCATTTCTTCTGCGGTATATTTCTTATGCAGTACATTGTTAAGGTTAGAAATACATCTGAAGTGATGTAATGGTTTTAGTTTTTATACTTTGCAGAGAAATGGTAAGTTTACACATGTAAATTAAATTTTAAAATAATTTTTCATACTATTTTTTAGTATTTATAAGTAATTAAAAAGCATAGGGTAGGCCCAGTGAAACTTAGTGGCTTCCAGCTGTCAGATGATCAAGATTTTGGCTGCATCATGCAGATTTTGTCTGCGTGGTGTTTCAGTCCATGTTAGATTTGATGTATTAAATGTTAAGCAGATATGAACTTCTTTATGTTCTCTGTTCTGAACGTATCAGACTTAGAATCTGCTCTAAATCTTGCTAAGGTCAAAAAAAATTGTCTTTGAGTAACTCTTACTGTCTTCTAAAGTGCTTACAAGTTTGTATTAACCTACATTCTTTTGAAGGGCTAGATCATGTGTGTATCTTTTGACTGAGACTATTGTATAAAATTGCAGTGCTTTATAAATTTATTAAAACATTTATTATGTATCTTTTTCAGGGTATCGAGGAATGGAATATTGCCCATCTTAATACAATATTGGATGTTGTAGGAGAAGAATGTGGAATTTCTATTGAGGGTGTAAATACGCCATATCTATATTTTGGCATGTGGAAAACAACATTTGCATGGCACACTGAAGACATGGATCTCTACAGTATTAATTATCTCCATTTTGGGGAGCCAAAGTCATGGCAAGTTTAAATTTTTATGAAAGATTATTTCATTTTTTTTTTTTTTTTTAGCTGACTAAACCAAACATATGGGGTACAGTTGCTTGACAGTGATAAGCTTTACTGAAAATCTAAGATAGTAGGTTTATTTTTTTTAAGTTGAGAATGCTATGAGATATGTGAGATTTGTGATGTTAAAAACATCACAGCAGTGCGTTCTTTTATTTTAAAGGAAAAGACTAACAAGTACATAAACCTTATTTGAGTTCAGCAGAAAGAAGATCGTAATGATTCAATATGAGAAGTTCAATGAGTTGGGAACCCCAAGACTATTTGAGGGAGGTTCTGTAAGGCTTCTTTTAAATCAGTTTCTTTGGTTCAGCTGTCACTTGAGGCTGCCTAACATGTTTTGTATTAAACAGTCATTTAATTGCTTTTTTGAATCAGCGTCATATTCTCGACTGTTAACTCAGTAGGCCCAGTAGGAGGTAAGATTCAGTGTTAAAGGTACTTTCCAAATATGAAGCTTTGCTGCCCTTTTTCCATAATCTTGGATTTTTGATTGAACAGCCTTAATAGCGAGACAAATGGATTTAATGTTGTTTGTATAGATTGTGGTGTACGTGTATCTTAAAGAATATGAGAAAAATGTTTTCCTTTTGATCATAAAATCTTGTTTTTTCTCAAGATACCCGTGAAGAGAAAATAAAATCATTAGAAAGATATATAGAATCATAGAATCATTAAAGTTGGAAAAGACCTCAAGGATCATCAAGTCCAACCCACACCGCCTAACTCACTGAACCATGTCCCTAAGCATGACATCTACATGTTTCTTGAACACCTCCAGGGATGGTGACTCCACCACTTCCCTGGGCAGCCTGTTCCAATGTCTGATCACTCTTTCAGTGAAGAAATTTTTTTCTAATATCTAGCCTAAACCTCCCCTGGTGCAACTTGAGGCCATTTCCTCTTGTCCTATCACTTGTTACTTTAGAGAAGAGGCCAGCACCCACCTCACTACACCCTCCTTTCAGGTAGTTGTAGAGAGTGATGAAGTCGCCCCTCAGCCTCCTCTTCTCTAGACTAAACAACTCCAGTTCCCTCAGGCTCTCTTTGTAAGACTTGTGCTCCAGACCCTTCACCGTCTTTGTTGCCATTCTCTGGACCTGCTCCAGCACCTCAATGTCCTTCTTGTGGTGAGGGGCCCAAAACTGAAGAAGGACATTATATGTCCTTCATAACGTATGAAAGAAATGTTATGCTTAGTTTGGTTCTGGCAGTTTCTAGTAATGCAAAGTTAGATGGAAAACTTTGTAGCTGGTAGTTCCATAAAATGTTATTGGTTATTTTTGTACCCGTACAAAAGACAAAGGACTATGCAACATGATGTATTTAAATTGTAAAGGTGGTAAGTTGTACAGCTGCTGGTTCTTAGATCATTGCTTTATATTTACCAGCTTTACTTGTATAGTGGATCTTGTGCATCTAGACAGAGAAGGTAAACACCACCTTTTGTAGTAAGGAAGTAATGTGGTGAAGTTTTGAATTGCTTAATTATATGTATTTTTTTAAAAATTGCTGCTTTGATAGAACTAGACATCCTAAGAAAGTCTTTTCAGCCATAAGAATAATATCTTTGTTAAAAATAGATGTAAAGATAGGTAATTACAAATAGTTTTGAGATGATAGGACAAATGTAACTAAAACAGTGCTTGCATAAAATTTATTTTGGGTGGTTAGGGATTTAAAAAGTGCTATTCAAGGAAAACCTCACTACATATTGTAAATTTCCAGGAAGTGGAGACATTTGCTTAAACCCTGAAGTCCTTAGACACAATAGATAGAAGCTAAGAAAACTTTTTTTCTTCAAGTATTTTGAAGGAAGTATGAGTTGATAATATGATAAGTGCTTGTCTAATTTACAGTTACTTGTTTACACTTCCAAATGAACAAAATCATTAAACTCTGACCACTTCATCTTTTGAAAAAATAGTGGTGGATACAACTTCATTTTCTGGACCACATTGCTCCATATTGTTAAGAAATGTAGTGCTAAAAAGAAGTTGAATGAAAGACAGGTAAAGGTTTGTTTGTTGTTACACACATGCTTTTACTGGAGGAATGCTGCAATAATTTTTATGCTAGTGCTGTTGCTATATCAGTAAAGTGTATCTTATGTTAGTGTGATATTAGTATAATATTTTTAGCAAAGAAGTGGAGGATGAGTTGAATCGTAGGATACTGATAGTAAAGATCTTATGTGCTCTTAAAAAATTTAAACTGAGTTGAGAAGTGCTCCCTTAGTGGAACTGAATACCCTGTCATGTACAGTAGTAATATGCATTTTTAAATTTTACTGGGTATACTTGTAGTTCTTCAAGATGGCCATGTTGGTCTTGTGGAGAACTGAAAAGTACTTTATTAAGAAATGTGATAGGCAGTGTGTTTTCTCTGAATTATGAGTTCCACCTGAGAGCCCCAATGAGAACTTGTAAGCAGCAGCTAAATTTGACTGCAGTGGCAGTCTGTATGGAATTTGAAACTTTCTCCAGTGTTTAGACAAAGAAATTTATAGTTTTTATATTATATATACTGATTCCTTCATTGACGGCCTCATATGAAACACAGGTGAAAAGCATGTCTGATAACCATTTGCAAAGTCAGGACTATGGCTGTTTGTGTGTGTATATATTTGTGTAATACTTGTGTTTGCTTTATCCATTATTTTTTTTGCTTGCAAAATAGCACTAAAGAGAGGAAATAATTTGAAGGAGAAAAAGGAATTAAAATGTAAAAGCTCTGAAACAGAAGAATATGGGGGGAAAAGAGAGGGCTATATGATGAGGAAAGATTTGCTGGAAAGGGGAATAGAGTATATTAAAATATATTGCTTGTTCTCAGGTGGACTTTTTATGGCAACTTTATATTTTCATTTTTTTCTGAGAAGGAAGAAATCTTGAAGATTGTACCTCATTTTACATCACAGTTTCTTAGAAAAAGTCATTACTAAGAAGAACCATTGGTGTGACTGATGATTTCCTTAATTTACTAATTCAGTTTGTTCTTGATATGTTTCATAATAGATAGTGTCTGTGAACTGCTTAGTGCTATTAAAACTTTATTCACTCTACCGTTTGTTGTTAAATATTTTCTTCCATAGTAATAGGCTCTCACTGAAGAGAATTTGTTTTCGTTTTGTGTAGTAATTTGAGGAATTTTGTCGTGTTAAAGTATTGAACTGCTCTTGGAAATTAATAGCATAAAGCAGATTTTTGTTAATAATACAACTGTTAGACTATTAGATACATGGGTAAAATATAAATAATGCTTCAATTTACATTAAAAATTTATAAATACAAAATCTGAAGAAGGTATTTACTTTTTTGTAAATAATTATGGGTTTATTAAGTATCTGAAAGCAATGCTTACTCTTTGTCTGTTTGCCTGACTCATGAAAAACAGTGGTGTGGACAGGAATTTTCTGAAGTGTTAAGGTGATGTAAATCTTCTTCAAGAATATTGATAATAAATATGTGAAAGTGTTTATTAAGCAGGCCCAAAGTAATTATTTTCATGACACTGTGGGTATTTAAAATACAATAATAGTTTGACTCATTTATTATTTTTTATTTTAGAAAGATATGTGGGGAATATATTTAATATTTTACTTTAGAAAGGAATATTTTTTTTTTAAATTGTGCTCATTTTGTTCACCTTTTGTATCTGATGGTGGAGGTCTGAATTCTCTTCTGTGTAAAGAATCAAGAGTTTTTACTTTCTGTTGAAAGGGGAACAGTGTAAACTTGCAGTATAATAGAAAAATAATTAACAGATCAATTTGTGATGTTTTCTTCAACATTCGTTCTGGTCTTCGCTTCCTTGCTCTTCTGAAGACTGGAAATGACAGGAAACAATACAATATGTTAAGAACCCCTCCTGTTTAGTAATGTATTTCCTAAATTACAAAATTCCTTGCAGGGTTGGTCAGTCATAAAATAAAGAGGAATATATACTACAGAAAGAGAAGGTGGTTCTGTCTTTGTGATAATGTGAAGAAAAAGAGAGCAGATTGTTGAAGAGAGAATGCTTAGACAGGCAGAATTAGGTGCATTAGGAGGGTTAGACTGGACCCTGAAGTTTATTTAGGTTGTTAGAGGAGTAGGGTGAAGTGGATCTGTGGTGAAATTCAAAACAGGTGATTCAGGTTCAGGGATTCTTTACAGGAGTTCAGTGGATACAGGATGGCAAGAAATCTGATCTCCAGATTGCCTGAAATTTTTACCCTGTCCAGTTTTACTGTTACCTTTTTATTGCCGTGGCTAGAACCTGCTTTTATGGATTTGACAGTGTAGAATGTGTACCAATAACTGTTCATCTTCCTTTATGAAGTGGAAAAATGAGGAAAGATAGGTAGATACACAGTAGGGGTTGTGGAATTCTTTAAAATGTGATTTCACATGAAGGTTTTCAGATTTTGAATCCCAGTAGCAGAGGAAGTAGTAATAAGGTTGTGAGTATGGTGGGATAAAAATGAGTGGTGTTCTGTATTAGTATTAGACAAAATTAGAGACAAAAAAAGGTGAAGGAGAAGCATACTCAGACTGATGCTAAAATTGTATAATTTAAGAAAAAATATGGCAATAAAGTGGATGGGTTAAAGAGAGACTCAGATGGGTCCTGATGTGGTGTTCTGGGGTAGCATTAATAAGACTTTCAGTGTGATCAACAGCTGACTGAGACTGGTCAAAATTTGGCCAGATGATTCATGGTTCAGCATGAATAGAAGAGTCTTGCTGCCTTTGCCAAGTTATGTATACTGTTGACAAAACTGATGTTTCCCAGTTATGTTCTATGTGTAGAAAAAAAAAAAACCAGAGAAAATTATAGTGAAGTGCTAACTTTTAATGTGAAAAATGAGAGTAATGTATACAACTTCCATGAGACGTGAGGGGACAGTTATGCTCAAATTAGGAGAGGATTAGCCGTACTGTGTGCTGAAAATTATCAGAAAAGTTAGA